GACTGCGCCCACCTCCAGGTGAGTCACCGCTGGTGGCCACGGGGCGATGGAAACCCACCCGTGGGGAAAGCCAAAACTGCTGGTTTTGGGGCCAGGAGAACGCCGAGTTGAAGGAGCAGCTAGCCCAGCTGCGGCGAGAGTCAGAGGAAGCACGGGCCAAGCTGGCCGAGCTGGACCTGGAGGTGCAGCAGAAGACGAACCGCCTGGCCGAGGTGGAGCTGCGGCTCAAGGACTCCCTGGCCGAGAGGGCTGAGGAGGAGGAACGGCTCAGCCGGCGGCTGCGGGACAGCCAGGAGACCATTGCCAGCCTCAAGTCCCAGCCCCAGCAGATAAAGGTGAGCGGTCTCCTGGCTGGGGAAGGGAAGCCGAGCTGGGCCAAAAAAAATGCCCTGTAAGTGCTACCCATCCCTCTGCCCCAAGCACATCAGCACAGCACCATGATTTTGTAAATTAGCCCCCCCAGGACAACGCCAGCTCCATCCCGGGCCCCTTGGGTGCTGCTTCCCCAGTACACCCCTGCTCTGGATGCTTTTCCCCCCAGTACATCATCAAGACGGTGGAGGTGGAGTCAGCCAAGACGAAACAAGCCCTGTGCGAGAGCCAGTCCCGAAACCAGTACCTGCAGGAGCAAGTGGGGATGCAGAGGCAGGGGGTGAAGGGGGTGGAGCAGCAGCTGCAGAGCTCCCAGAAGACAGCAGCTCAGCTCCGAGCTCAGGTCCGAGCACGACGGGTGTAAATCAGAACTCGCCCTGCCTGGCTCCACCACGGTTTCTGCCTCCGTGGGCATCACTGGGTGATGCGGTGCGGCAGCAGGTGGTCCCCGGCTCAGTATCACCCACTTGCTCCTCTCCCAGATTATGATGTACGAGGCTGAGCTGGAGCGAGCCCATGGGCAGATGCTGGAGGAGATGCAGGCCATGGAGGAGGAGAAGAACCGCGCCATCGAGGAGGCGTTTTCCCGTGCCCAAGTGGAGATGAAGGCGGTGCACGAAAACCTGGCAGGTGAGGGGAGGATGCGGGGCTCACAGGCTTGCCTGGTCAGTGGCGGGGGGCTGTGGCACCTGCCCCTCACCCTGCCTTGTGCCTGCAGGCGTCCGGACCAACTTGCTGACGCTGCAGCCAGCACTGCGCACCCTCACCCACGACTACAACAGCCTGAAACGCCAGGTCCGCGACTTCCCCCTGCTGCTGCAGGAGGCCCTGCGGGGTGCCAGGGCCGAGGTGAGACCCCCGGGAACACCCCGCCCCAGCTCCACCCTGTTGGCGCGAGTCAAGAGCGGGGCCACAGGAATGGTCTGAGGGCTGGAGCACCTCTCTGGCAAGGACAGGCTGAGAGAGCTGGGGTTGGTCAGCCTGGAGGAGATAGGGCTCTGGGGAGACCTTGCTGCCTTTCAGTACCTAAAGGGAGCCATAAGAAAGCTGGGGACAGACTTTTTAGCAGGGACTGTTGTGACAGGACAAGAGGTGATGGTTTTCAACTAAAAAAGGGAGACTTAGACTAGGTCTGAGGAAGAAAATTTTTACAGAGAGGGTGTACACTGGCCTGGGTTGCCCAGAGAGGTGATTGATGCCCCATCCCTGGAAATATTCAGGGCCAGGTTGGCTGGGGCTCTGAGCAACCTGCTCTAGTCACAGATGTTTGTCTAGTCACAGATGTTTGTCTAGACACAGGGATTGGACTAGATGAGTTTGAAAGTTCCCTTCGAACCCAAACCATTCCAGGATTCCATAATTGCATGATTCTGTGTTGGGAGGGTCCCTGAGCTGCCACTCTCCATCCCCCAGATCAGCCAGGCCATCGAGGAGGTGCACAGCACCAACCGGGAGCTGCTGCGCAAGTACCGGCGGGAGCTGCAGCTCCGCAAGAAGTGTCACAACGAGCTGGTGCGGCTGAAAGGTGCACGGGGGACCTGGGGGGTGGGTTCCGTCGTGGGAGAGCGTGTCCCTGACAGGAGGGACAGGGAAGTGTCACCCTGCTGCACCCCAGCACCATAGGCTCTCCATAAGATGCTTAGGTTGGTGGTGGGATGCCTCAGTCGGCTGTGGGGTGCAGCGTTCAGCCCATCTGGTGTTTGGCCATGGGTGGCAGGGGGATGAACCGGGCCTGACGCCGTCTCTGCATCCCCACACCAAAGGGAACATCCGTGTTTTCGGGCGAGTGCGCCCCATCACCAAGGAGGACGGCGAGGGCCCAGAGGCAGCCAATGCAGTGACCTTCGATGCTGACGACGATGCCATCCTTCACCTCCTACACAAAGGGAAGCAGGTGTCCTTTGAGCTGGATAAGGTCTTCCCCCCTCAAGCATCCCAGGAGGAGGTTGGTGCTGCCATCCACACTGCTATGGGAGGAGGTGGGGGGGTGCCTCCACCTTTTCCTGACGCTCCCTGGTCCCCACCAGGTGTTTCAGGAGGTTCAAGCCCTGGTCACTTCCTGCATTGATGGCTACAACGTCTGCATCTTTGCCTACGGGCAGACAGGGGCCGGAAAAACCTACACCATGGAGGTGAATTTGCCTCGCTTTGCTTCCTTCTTCTTCCTTGTCTTCCCATTTCATGGTGCCCAGTCTCAGCATGCTCCTCTAACCAGGCTGGTGGCCAGCTTAGACCTGGCATGCACCAGTGACGGCCAC